ATTGCACAAGAAAACGGTCAACCTTCAACTTTCGCCTTCAAGCTAGAGTCTCGCTGACAGCTTGCTGGCACCCAGCATCATGAGTGGGCCTCCAGCGTGTTTTGAAAAGTCAGCTGTTCTCAGTTCCCTTTGCGGAGGCTTGCTGTCTTTTTGCTTGGACCTTTTCCCACCAGCTGCCCCACCTCACCTGCTGAAGCTTGTAGCTCCTTCAGTCACATGTGTCTTGGTGGCCTTGGGTGGTGTTCTGGGTCCATCCAACTGAGAGGACACCCCAGAAAGACCCAGGACAGTCTGTAGAGACTCGGCTGGTCTGGGAACACCTTGGAGTCCTCCCAGAAGAGCTGGAAGAGGTGGCTGTGGAAAGATGTCTGACCTCCCTGCTTAAGCTGGATTTAACAGAACTCCTGGGAATGTTTAGGGATTTTAAAATCTTTTAATATCCACCTCCTGACGTGTCCTTTTCAACAATCTTTGAGTTTAATAAGGACCGTCACGTTAAAGGAGTGAATTGTTCATGCAATTCCTTATTTTACATTAAATATATTTACTCAACTGCCATGACTTTATGGGAAATTTTATTTAACTTTAGTCATTTACAATCTTTTTTTTTTTTTTTAAGGAATATGACAGATTTAAAATATCAATAAAAATGTAAAACATCCAAGGAGGTGAATCCTTTTTAATAGGCACGTTTTCTTCTGGGAGATATAATAACAAAATGGTCGCAAACAGCTGAAAAACAACAAAACAATCAGACAAAATGAACGACCTACAAATATAAAGAAACCACAAATCAAAAAGTAATACCTGAATCTCTGCAGAACCCGCTTTGACAGGCTTCTGGTTTTCTTTAGATGTTGCAGAAAATTATGCAAGCTGTCTGCAGATCCAGGCCCCTAACACAATTTAGTCTCTGACCTCGACAAACAACACTCTTACTTGGTTTTCACAGAGAAAAACACCAACATCTGTTTGAGTTTATGAAGACAGATGTTTGCCTCGATCATTGGACACCTAATTCCAAACTAATTCAATTGTGTTTGAAGACTGCAGTCAACTTGCAGAAGAGTTGAAGGAACCAACGACAGAGGTTCAGAGCTCTGCTACAACACAACGCTGGGAGCTGATTCACCTGAATGAAAACATTTTTTATGAGGATGTGCAATCTTTTTTTTTTATATACCTTCAAAAGGGGCGTTCCTTGAAAAAAAGCATTCACCATGCTAGTTTTGATGAGAAACTACAAAGTTGTAGCCATTGTGGTTAAACATTTCACACAGTCTCCGTTGATGTGAGAGTTAAGATCTTTTTGAGCTCAAAGCATGTGTTGAGAATATTTAGTTACTACCACGAAAAACGTTACCTTCATATCCACGAATGTGACTTCGTTTTTGTAGGATTCTTAGGTTTCCAGCCAGGCGTGTTTCCAGGTTTTCCCCGGGCACTTACATAGCTGCCCACTGCTCCACCTGGGTATATGTCAGGTGTGATGGGTTAATGCAGAGAACTAATTTAGTCATTGTATGGGAACATACAATGATGACAACACATCACTTTATAATCACTTTCTCCACAGCTGCTGATCATTGCAATCATCCACCCTTCCACACCTGCATCTGATTTGGAAGACATGCTCTGCTGAGAATTTAAACTCCTGCCAGACGCTGGAACATTATGACTCCTTATGGTAACTTACCGGGTAAGTGACAGCCGGTAAACTTATTCCTTGTGAAATTTTGACCAACCTTGTGATCATCCTTTGTACTTTAAGGCCCCATTTACACGAACACAGAGAGGGGAAACGCAGGTTTTATAGGATGTTGATTCAACGATAAAATCTGTGTAACCGCAGCAACCCCCCTGTATCCGCTGTAGTTGTCATGCCAGGTCATTAGTTGGTGCTGTGAAGTTTGTACATTCACCTAATGCACATGTGTGCTGTTTGGGACAGCTGTCTGTAAGTTATCTCCTCTAGGCTGAAAACCCAGTAACAACAAAACTTAAAGCTGGATTTTGGATACAAGTCGGAGGATTTGACACCAAGCTGGACCGCTTTGTCTAACAGCTCGACATCGGTCGCTGAGCGGACCAGAACTGACGAGGATGATGTTGGACTTCCTACTATGGTAGTAATCAGTAGCTGTTGAGCCGTACTACAGGTAAATCAACGTTCTTAATAATGTTTGCTTGTGTTTACTTCGGTTACACAACAATGAAATGAGGTTTTATTTTTCCTGCGAGGAGAAGCTGTCCTCCCACCAGAGATGGACTGGTTCTGAACAAGCTTATACATCGGCGGTGAAGGAGAACATTGAAGAGAGAGATGTTGGATGAACTGTTTATTTAAAATTCCCTTCAGTTTTTTCTTCCAATCCATTCAATATTTTAAGCTGCATTAAGCAAAGGAGTGACAGCCTGAACAAGCCAGATAAACAACATGGCGTCAGTGTCAGGATGACAACAGAGCGGACGAGTCCAGTTTATTAATGTAGTTTAAAGTTTGGTTAACATGTTTTTAATAGTGTGTTCAGTTTAACTATCTGTGTTTCGTGACATACAATTTGTGGTGTTGAATAAATAAATTAAAATTAAACCTGATGCCTTCAATTTCAACTTGAATAACGTGCCATGTGTTTCACCTCATCGTTTAAATCACATAACTTGAATTAAATAATGTCTAGATAGCTTCATTACATCTCCCACCACTAACAGAAATACTGTTTGTTATTGTTAACTTGATATTATTTAGCACATTTAATATGTTATAATGCAGCACCACGCGTGAAATATACGCCTGCCTCAACAGGCTTGTTCAATACAGGATCCGACTGACGTCTCCTCCCAACACAGATGTTGGACACAGCAGAAGCATCCTGGCATAGATTAACTACGAGACCTCAAATATATTCCAGTCGTAGGTAGAAAGCAGTATAGTCCGCCGCCATTGTTGTTGATAGAAATATGCCGTTGGTCCACGCGTGCGTGAAATATACCCCTGTTGTGCGCATGTGCTTGAACACCTCTGGGGGACTTCTCACACATTCAGCGGGCTGTCTACCAGCAAACCTCCACTCTGGATTCAAAGAGGGGGGTGACTGGTGTTGTGTAAATGAACAGCTGAACTGCAGAGAGAAAGGTGCGGTTTCATTCAAAACGGCCCCTAAGTCCTACTCCTCTGTGTTTTCTGTGATCTCCTCGCTCCTCGTGACCTCGCCTTGTCATCATCCCGTTCTTGCAGTTGCCAAACATCAGCCTGGATCAAAATACTGAGCAGCTTCAACCTGTTCCTCTCTCCAACACTGACTCACTCCTTCTTGATCACACTTCACCCTCATGTGGAAACCTAGGACCTCGTTTTCTCCCTCCCCTTCAACACAACCTGTAAAATAAACCAGAAGTAAAAAAAAACAATTATCTACAATTTCCATTCTTCAAGAATTCAATAATCTACTCGCCTTGTTCCCTAATCCTTTCCAGCCCTGAATGTTCCCTGCACCTTTGTAATTAAATCACTTGCCTTGTTTTTACTCCTGACTGTGTCCTCATCAGTCTGATAACTTGGGGTCAAATATATTTAACTTGTTAGTTTTAGCCAATTTTGTCGATTAGCTGCCAGCCTTGATTTAGACTTGCCCTAAACGTTAATCTGTTGTAGATGTACTCGATTACTTTCTGGGAACTTTAATAAAAAACGTGTCCGGCGGTTTGTTAGAAACTTTGGACGCCAACAGTTCATGTTAATCACTCCCAGCTACTACCACACCTGATCTCAGCAGAATGTAAACTAGTTTGAGTTATAGTGTGTTTCCAGGTTTCAGTGGCCATGACGGCCATCTTAATTATTTTTTACTCCCTATAATTATATTAAGTTCATCTAATTTTTAAAAAAAAGTTTCATTATTTTTGTTCATTTTGCTAAAAGATGAACACAGCAAACAGTCGCGTTTGGCACAAAACGGATCTCTTGATTTGAAATGCTGACAGAAACACATTAGAGACAAACGATGAGTGATTTGTATATATGATGCAAATTAATCAACACCATTAGCATGTTTGAAATTCATGCATGTTTTTGGCCTTTCTTAGAGGAAAAAAAATCTAAATTGAGATTTGGAAATTACGAGTCAATTATTTCTTAGTTTATAAATCTTTTCTTCAGCTCCGTCTTCTTTAAATCCCAGTTAAAAATCAATCCAAATGAAGGTGCTGCAGTGGGAGCAGGTCAAACTGTTGCTGTTTGACCGACGGCCAGTTGGAAACCTGCTGCTACCTTCAGGGTATACGCAGTGAGTGCGCGTATGTGCGCGCGCGTGTGAAAGGAGAGAGAGAAAGAGAGAGGATTGCCCAAACAGACGCAGCAGCAGACGTGCCCGCTCCTGTCTGCTCCTCTCCCCCTCACACTCCGGAGCAGCGCTTTGACGCACCACGCAGAGTTGGATTATTGCGCGCTGGACTCTCACAGGTTTTTTATTTTATTTTTTTATTATTTCTTCATCCTTTTTATTTGTATTTTTTATTTTTGGCTGCACTCTGCCTCGCCACTGACTTCTAGTTGACACCCCATTCTATCGGAATCAATAAACCTCCACATGTGCTGAGTTTTTGTTTTTTTTTGTTTTTTTGGAGAGAGGGGGATGACGAGAAGCTGCTGCCGCTGCTTCCGCGCCGGACGCGTGTTGTGAATTATTAACTAACGCAGCCTCATTTCTACCTGGAGTGTGTGCGTGCGCGTGTTTACACAGTAAGGAAGCGTTTTGTTGACTCACACCAAGGATTCAAGTGTTTCCTGGCTTGGATCCACGCGCACGTCTGTCCATCCAGAGCAGAAGACGTCGGGAGGAGCTGCGCGCCGCATGCCGCGGACATGTGGAAGTTTGCGCCGCTGTAGCGCGCACACAGAGCCGGTCCAGCTCCTGCTCAGTGGGACCAAACTCCTGCTCCACACACTTAACCCCTCTAAGAGGACCCAAATGTAAATTTACTGGACGAAATCTCCCCGCAGCTGAAGCAAAAGGAGGACGAGTCTAAAAATCAGGGGGACGGGATCCCGTTCCGTGAAGAGTTCGGTCCCCTCCTTGAGGAACCCTCAGGTTTTAATTAAAACAAATAATTATTCTCAACATTCTTGTACTCTCTCTGCATTCTGCGGGTCTCATTTGGCCCCTCGCTTGCCGCAGTGATGGTGGGAGCTCTGTGCCCCGTTGGCTTCTTGGAGACTGCGCGGAGGCTGCTGGTGCCGGTCCTGCTCCTGGTTCTGTTCCGGGGCGCGGACGGCCAGCCGTGCCCGGCCCAGTGCTCCTGCACCGGGACCACAGTGGACTGTCACGGGCAGGGACTGCGCAACGTGCCCAGGAACATCCCCAGAAACACGGAGCGACTGTAAGTCCTTCAGTTCATGCACCCAAACTCTCTGCTGCATGGCGCAAAACAAATGATTCTCCATTAGTAACTGATTTGATCTATTTTATTATTATTATTATTTTTTTTTTTTTACATTTTTTAAAGAGTTTAATTTAGGCTTTGTGTAACAGGCTGCTTCAGGTTGCACCTTCTGGAAATGAAATGAATAAGTCACAACATTTCACTGAAATCACATTTTATTTTGGTTTGAAACGAAGAATGGAGGATCGTGCACGTCTCAACGCCGCACAGCTCCAAATGTTGCAGCTCGCGTGTAAAAACTTCCACAAAAGCCTCTTTATTTTTAATGATGTGAAAACATGAGATTTATTGTGGCGCGTGTTTAATGTCAGGAGCTGATCGCAGATCTCAAGTTGGGGTGGGGGGGTGCTGTGGTGGTGCTGGTGGTTTCGCACTGTTGCTTTATATACCACAGCCCATGTGGACCGCATCGGTTTGTCTGGAGACCAGCAAGTTAATCAAAAACGGATTTGGACAAGTGGAGCAGGCCGCTTGTTACCGAGCTGCGCCACCTGATCCTCTCCAAGTCTCTGACGCGCAAATCACAATTCACAACAAGAAAACCTGCTTGGTTTGGCTTCGTGTGATTTCTAAACCTTCAGATAGTTTCAAACCTTTTTTTTTCCTGTTTAGGGATCTGAACGCGAACAACCTCACTAAAATCACCAAGACTGATCTTGCAGGACTGAGGCACCTGCGAGTCTTGTAAGTAAACTTCATTGTCTGTTTAATCCATGTTTGTTTATTTATGATGCATAATGGAAAACAATGTTTTCTCACGCGCCAGCCACTCTTTACACCTCCATTAACCCCCCACCCCCACCCACCCCCAAACATCCAGCCTCAACATGTTCTGCAGCGCCGCATCCTTCCCTCCGCACAGAGCAGCGCTCCGCACCTGTTAATGCCGTCGTGTTAATCTGCCAGGAGAAGTGTCAGGCGGGGCTTATTTTAACCACGGGGCCCCCGGGGCCCCCGGGGCCCATGTGTTGCAGTGATTAACACGCTGCAGAGGAAATGATGGAGGGCAAGAATGGAAAGAGATAGCTGTCATTAGGAGGAACCGCGGAGGGAGGAATGCAGCTGCAGGGAGGGGAGGAGGGAGCGGGAGGGGTGAGGAGGGGAGGAGGGGAGGACGAGAGGTGAGGAGGGGAGGGGAGAGGAGAGGAGAGAGGTAAGGAGATGAGGAGGGGAAAGGAGTGGAAAGAAGTCGAGAGGAAGGGAGAGGAGGGGAGGAGGAGAGGTGAGGAGGGGAGTAAGAGAGGAGGGAATGAGAAGAGGATGGGAGGAGGGAGGAGGAGCAGTGAGAGGAGAGAAGTGGAGGGGAAGAGGAGATGTGATGAGGGGAGGAGGAGAGGAGAGGAGGGAAGAGGAGTGGAGAGGAGAAGTGAGGAGATGAGGCAGAAAGGTGAGGGCGGGAGAGGAGTGAAGGAGGAGAGGAGAGGAAAGGAGATGAGGAGGAGAGATGAGGGGGGGGAGAGGAGGGGAGAGAAGAAGAGAGGAGGGGTGATGGGAGGAGAGGAGGGGAGAGC